TAGTTTCTGAATTATTTTGAATGTTTTATGAACCAATTAACTGTTGCTTCTGGAGGCAAAATTAGGCTGACTAATTATAACTAATTAATACCATTAGGTGTGATGGATTCCAGATGGGAATGCTACCTTTGCTGCTCCTTTACCCTTACTAAGCCCTGGTGGTATTTTGCACATTGTAGTGACAAGCTTCATGCAGCTATATTTTCATTAATATCTTCAACTTTTAAAATTTTTTTTTGCTTATGCTTCTACTCCCTCATTTTTTTGTTAACTTATCCCATTATTGTCAATACTTTTTAGTGATGAAGAAGGTATTAAATGCTTTGGCTTTGCTATCACAGTGATTCTCCTCCCATGCCAGATACAAGATCTTTACCTTGTTTAACTGTTCATTAGTAAAATAACTAGAATTTTTTTATTGTGTCTCCTTTTGTCTGCTAATAATTGTAACTGATTTATATCTAAGCCTTTTTAGTGTTAATCCTACAAGTCCATGCAGCTCCTTTTTTTAATCTCTCCTTATTATTCTTTTTTCTATTTCACAAACTGCAATCATTCTCCTCACCTACATGTACCCAGATTTCTGCCAATCTTATGTAGCAGCAGCAGCAGCAATCTGCACAGATCTTCAAACACATGCCTGAAAAGCGTAAAATCTGCAGATCTGCAATTGCCAAACATCTATTTATTTTACTTTGACAATAGCACTTCAAAGATTAAAGAAAATGTAGAGCCTCGTTCACTCCCTTGTGGCCCTTCCTGGTGGTTGCTGGCTTCCTTCTCTGGCTAGTCATGACTAATGACTGTTGGACTAGTGGTGTTAGTGACTAGTGGTGTTAGTGACTAGTGGTGTTAGTGACTAGTGGTGTTAGTGACTAGTGGTGTTAGTGACTAGTGGTGTTGTTGGAGCTGTGAGAAGGTAGTCATCCATCCCACCGTTACTTTGTGTTGGGTTGCACAGTGCAAGTGCTATTGTGCAGATTGCTGCTGCTGCTACATAAGAATGGCAGAAATCTGGGTGCATGTAGGTGACGAGAATGATTGATTGCATTTTGTGAATCATCAGGGTTTAGAGTTGGAAAGCAGCTGTCTCATCTGCTTGAATTTTTTTTTGTCATTAGTAACCTTTTTGTCCCAGATTCAGAGCATCACTGATGAGTCTCGAGGCTCAATCAGAAGAAAAAGCTACTCCAGTCCACAGTCCATTGGCCAAGATGCACAAGCACTGCTGACTAATGATTGTCGAGAGGAGGAGGTAGCTGGACATAGTACTGGCTAGCTATGTTTTCCCATTGCAACACTTGAAGTGCCGTTATTGCAAACTGAACTTGAAATGAGCAACTTGATCATTCATAGTTTGGAACAGTTCTTTGTAAATTTTAATTTTACTGTTTTTCTAAATTCATTATCTTACTCTATTTTTTTTTCTCTAGCTGATGCTTCTGTGACATTAACTACCTCCTATTTTTCAGAAAAGAAAACCATGTTTGTGAGAGTGCATGTTTTTCTTACGACCCAGAAGCAAAGATACTTCTCTGTCTTCTATCTCCTAAAAAGTTTCATGCTTTCACAAAGCATTGCCTTCTTTGATAGTTTCTGTAATGGAGTACTTAGTAGCTTCTCAGAGACAGTATAGCTATACTAGGGCTTTTTAAAGGCCATTTTTATGCTTATGGACAGCCATTATTAACCCATAAACTTATTATTAACTACTTTCTGCATGGTGAGTTTGAAAGAAAATGGACTGATATAATCATTGGTTTTAGTGCGCACTTGAAGCGTTGCTCATATTTAAAGATGTGTAGCCTAGTTTGTAGAAATGCTATCTACCTTTGTGTTTACCTTTCTTCATGAAGTATGAGAAGAATGTGTTATTCCATGTAACTGATTTCATATCAAAATAGCGCTAACAAAAATGTGCTTTTGTTGTCTCAGCATTTTATAAATGTGTGCTATAGGTCCAGAATTTCTCTTGGCCTTGGTCTTTCTAAAAATGGTGAACTTTCTTCCATTGAAATATAGCTGTATTGAACTCATCTCCCAATTTAAAAATCTAGTTTATTGGATACTGTTGTATGGCATGCAGAGTTTCTGCATGTATTTGTTAGCTTTTTTCCATTCTCATGATAAAACTGTATTCACAGTAAAAGTATTATGAGCGTAAATAAATAACATGTTAAATATTTCTTCCTTCTTTCATCAAGAGGAGCAAGGGGGATGGGAAATTGAGAACACAGAAGTGCATGTGGGAACAACAATATTGTGTTCTTAAGGTTGTGATTTGAGTTTCTGCTATTGTAAGGGAAGAGAAGATCCCCTTCGTGGTTAGATTGATTGGCTTTTTTTATGTAATATGCACTTGCATGCATAAATAATGTAATGGAATGTAACTAGTCTTTAATTCAGCCAGCCCATCGTTGTGTTACTGGAATCATGAGAATCCTGCTGGTAGTTCAACTAAAGGCACTTGAAATGGACAGAGTTTACAACAGTATCTGAGAAAATAACAATGTAACTGATAACTTGCTTTCAAGTTTTTCCCTGGCAAACCCCCCTGGTGTTTAAAGTACCCTCAGGCTAGCTTCAACCTCACAAGCAGTTTCATACTGAAGTCCAAACAGGGCGGTATTTGTTCACAAAGTAAGGTCTGGTTTTCTGTATTTTCTTTTGTTCCACTGCTGTGAAATTATTTTTCAAAATTTTAGTAATGTGCAATCTACAAATACTCTTTTTAGCTGAGTCTTGAGGTGATTTTTTGTTTTGTGGCCAGGCTCAGCTGATCCATGACAGAAACACTGCCTCGCACTCAGCTCCAGCAGTCAAAGCAAGTGTGACTACTGCTGTGCCGGAAAAAGTGCACATGACTTGGACTAAAGAAAAGCTTGTAGCTGAAAAGCATAAAAACAAAGACTCAAATGTGTCTGGCTTTAAAGATATTTTCAACATGAAGCCGTAAGTATACATATTTACTTACACGTATGGCATTTGGAGTTTTGTATTTGATTGTGTGTATTTTTGTTTGTGTGATTTTGTTGTTGTTCTGCATTTTGTTTTTTAAGAGATTCTGGTTTATTTAAAGTTGAGTACAAACAAGTATTTCCTGTTGAAACAGTCCTTAATGTCTTTTTCTTAAACAGAAGTCAATTACTTGTCTGTGTGTCAAGCCTGGTGCAGTAGATACAAAACCAATGTGATTCAAGCACACACATGGATCTTTTGAGTTCTGCAAGAATGCAGTTATATGCATGGCCTATTTTCTACACATGCCCAAAGCAAAACTTTGGATACCAAGGGAAATTTTAATATCTAAAGGGAATGTATCTTAAATGTAGGACTTAGGACAGTAGAGTTAGAAGATACATTTAAAATTAGCACCCTAAAATCCTAAGTTGTTTTGTGGATTTGCTCTGAGCTCTTTAGAAACAGCTTGCCTTCTGCAAATTCCAAACATCATCTGGCTCATGCTCTAAAGCACTGGTTTTGTTTGGTGCTCCCTTATATGGGGTTTTCTTGTTCATATTTTGGAAATATTTCCTATTAGAATTGTGCAAGATGTGGACTTCAGATGTTATTATATTAAAATCACTATATGAGGTTAGGGATTGACATTATGGTTTAAACTGTGTGTGCCTGTACAATATATTAATATTGTTGAATTAAAAATGTACCTGATGCCATAATTATTTTTTTTCTGTGTGTTTGCTTCCCTTCCATTTAGAGAATGGGGAAATCTGTAAGTCTAAATTTCATTTCACTTAAGCAACGAAGACTCTGTTCACTGGTTCTTGTGATATTGTACATTGTATATGTGTGTCCTAATTATTTGCAGTGAATGTATTCTTTTGAATCCTGTTTTATTTACTGTGATTTAGCATTTATCACTGAAAAATATTCTTCACTGTGACTGGTTAATGTTTTCAGCATACAAAAATGGGACACTAAATCTCTGATTTGTTCTTGGGTAGACTTGTGATATAGTCTGAAAGTGGCCTCACATTGCTAGAAGATTCAAGGATTAAGCGTTGGTGTAGTCCACTGAAATGACCACTAGGAATAGATCTCGTTAATTTCTGTTGTTTACATTAGCTGAAACAGTGCTGGGGTTTATGCTGTAGTCTTGATTGCTGTTAGTGGAATTCAGGCACTTCAGAGGATGTCTTACTATCCTGCTGTTACTAACCTGCCAGTCCTCTCTCTGCCATGGGACAATACATAGGCCCAGCTGAACAGGGTACAGTTGTGCTTTCACTGTAAAACTGCTAGGTACAGTGCTCAAAAATTGCACAGGATAAAGTGTCTTCTAGCAGCATAACCATATTTCCATTCTTGATATGTGCTATCACCCTGTGTTTCCAGGGTTCCCTTTGAAGTGAATCAAAATGAAGTGATAAATGGGCTTAGGTAGAGGCTAGATGTTTATATCGCACTGTAGCATATGACTCATTTCCAGTCTTGGCTAGTTTTACACAGATGGCAGTTTCTTGGGAACAATAAGGAACCTGTTCTATTGTTTTGTTTTGAAGAACAACTAAATCATCCAAGGCAGAGCCTAAAATCTCTGAAGTCCTAGCAGTTTTTCTCTTGCGCACAAATTTACAATTATATTTGTGGACACAACATGCAAAGCATTAGTATTGTGGAGAAAAGTCAGTTTCAGTTCATTGTTTACTGCCTTACTCTTATGACATGATAAACTAGTAATTTTTTTCATAAATCCTATGCTATTCTAAATTTATAAATTCAAATTCATATGTATTCATATAATTAAAATTTTTAGTATTGTGTCAATACTTTAAAATGTTTGTTTGTATGCTAGGAATCAGTCAAATGTGAGAAGAATGCACACTGCTGTGAAGCTCAATGGAGTAGTGCTTAACAAATCACAACATGCTCAGCTGGTTCTCCTGAATATGCCTGGACCTCCTAAAAACAGAAAAGGGGATGAAAACTGTATCCTCTCCTCTATTGCTTCCATATTTCTTGAAATTGTGAATCTGATTTTTGTGTTTTGCCATCTTCTACTTGTGATAACTGTTAGTAACCATGGTAAGCATAAGTTTGCCTTTAAGAAAACAACTTTTGAGCCCTCAGACTTTTAAGAAATGATAGTGGTGGAATTTTTCTTATTGAATGGATGTAAAGCATTCCTCAATCTTAAACTTCAAAATGTCACACAGAATGGCAAGGGTTGGAAGGGACCTTGGGAGATCATCTAGTCCAACCCCCCTGCTAAAGCAGGTTCTCCTAGAGCATGTTACACAGGACTTCATCCAGGCGGGCTTTGAATATCTCTAGAGAAGGAGACTCCACAACCCCCCTGGGCAGCCTGTTCCAGTGCTCTGTCACCCTCAGAGCAAAGAAGTTCTTCCTCATATTCAACTGAAACCTCTTATGTTTCAGTTTGTACCCATTGCCCGTTGTCCTGTCGCTGGACACCACTGCAAAGAGTCTGTCTCCGTCCTCATGACATCCACCCTTGAGGTATTTGTATGTATTGATGAGATCCCCTCTCAGTCTTCTCTTCTTCAAGCTGAACAAGCCCAACTCTCTCAGCCTTTCTTCATAGGGGAGATGCTCCAGTCCCTTTATCATCCTTGTTGCTCTCCTCTGGACTCTTCTCTAGGAGTTCCTCATCTTTCTTGAAC